CGTTAATTAATGGACGTGTTTTCTCTTAAATGAGATAAATGTTTTGACAAATATTACGCCAAAAATGGTAAAGGGTGAATGAGAAATTGATTCTCAGAGTTAACCCGTTAATAAAAGAATATGGTGAGGATTGCAATTTTTGCAATTTTACTGAACCAATCTTCTTTTATTAATTTTACGTATTGTTTAAAATTAGTCCATTCTTACGGAGTTAACTGGCCATTAATCTCCAATTATTCTGGACAAATTTTAAACGGAGCGTAGCGTAACGGACGTGTTAATGGCTAATTAATCACCATTAACATGGTATTAAGTGTGCCACAAATGCCATGGATTTATGGTGTAGGAGTTACATTTTTTAATTGGCTTGGTTATAAAATCAAAGGCTCTCTCCATTCTCTTTTGTGGTGGTTGTTTCATACATGAGGAAGGAAAAAGAAAGGAAAAGTACTTCCTTGTTTTTTTTCAGAGAGCTCCTGATTTTCCGGCCAACTTTTCGGCAATTCCCTTCAAAATTTTTTGGTCGCCAACGTTCCTACGTTGTTCTTGTTCGTTGGTGTGTGGTTGATCCGTACAATCTCCACACACGATAGCGGTTTTATCCTGGGAGGAGAGTGCCCACGTCTTTCCGGTACGGTAGGCGGGCACTACTACCTTAAGGACAGCTCCGGCGACTCCGCTGTCCTTCCACGGTGTTTTGTTTTTGCAGGTACAGCTCATAAAGACCTCGCTGCATTCTGCCCTAGGACATAATGTCCTTGCTGTCCAGTGCATAATGACCTTGCTGTCTAGTGCATAATGACCTCGTTGTCCAGTGCATAATGTCCTCGTTGTCCAGTGTTTACTGTCCTCATACAACGAGACTTTTTTAGAAGATATAGAAATTTATTTTCTATTCTGTTTTATTTTGTAATATTCTGAATAAGTTATAAATTCAGAATTTTATTTATTTTTATTACCGGGGCCGTTCATCTTCCCCGTCCGTTGTAATCCGTACAAAAGTTATAACAATCCTTTTTTCAAAGTTCTTTTCATCTTTCCCTCGCGGTACTTGTTCGCTATCGGGCTCTCGCCTGTATTTAGCCTTGGACGGAATTCACCACCAAATGAATCAGACAAGTGTATTTATCTAAAAAAACACATCCCAAGGGTATGTCATGTTGTGTCTATATGTAGACGACATACTCATAGTTGGTAGCGATGACAAGATGGTCAAGTCTACCAAAGACATGTTAAAAACGCGATTTGATATGAAAGATATGGGTCTGGCTGAAGTAATTTTTGGAATTAAAATTGTGAGAAGACCTGAGGGTCTAGCACTGAGCCAATCCCATTATATTGATAAAATCCTTGACAAGTTCAACAAGGATGACATTAGAGTAGCAAAGACGCCGTTGGACGTCAATGCACACCTGGCTAAAAATCGAGGTTCCAGTAACTCTCAAATCGAGTATGCGAGAGTTATTGGAAGTTTGATATATCTAATGAGTTACACATTTTAAACACCTTAGTTATAAAATAAAAGAAGATTGGTTCAGTAAAATTGCAAAAATTGCAATCCTCACCATATTCTTTTATTAACGGGTTAACTCTGAGAATCAATTTCTCATTCACCCTTTACCATTTTTGGCGTAATATTTGTCAAAACATTTATCTCATTTAAGAGAAAACACGTCCATTAATTAACGATTAAAACTGTTAGTGGACCTATTGACAAATATACCCTAGTTGGTCCATTTAATGCCTATTAAAAATGCCAAAAANGTTGAAAACCTGCAAAGAACATGTAAGTGTCTCCACTTTTGAACATGTCCCTTGTAAAGTATACCTTCTTTACTGGCTGTTCAGTAGAACGCGATGTCTTTGAACTGTACTGCCGCTTGTGTAAACGATAGTATACCATACACAGATTCCAACCAAACGCCGTTCTGTTCTCATGGTTGTGCCCATTTTGGTCGTGGGACACGCGCCTGGTTCTGCGAGAGTGTTTAGAGGATTAAGCCCAAGATCTTCCGTTTGAAGCGACCACACTTCACTCTTACATAGGTGATTCTTTAAGAGTATCCCGATTACTCCCCTTAGACCACCGTGTCTATTGGTTAAGAATCATTAAAGCATATTTATATGCTAACCTCATCATTTTCGGGAGTCACTGTCTTCAGCAGGAATAGAAGGGACTGACCGAAGGTTCCGGTACCGCCCCCACAGTGACCTCGCTTTATCCTACAAGTATGTTGTCCCATTGAACCTGGCTACCAGCCAGGTTGGGTTTTCCTTCATAGGACTGTCCTAGCACAAGGGCTTCAGAGCCATTCCTGCCACAAACTTCTCATGCAACTCATTTGTTAACCCTTTGGTTAGCGGATCCGCCAGATTATCTTTTGACTTCATATAGTCAATTGTAATAATCCCAGTTCTGAGAAGTTGTCTAATGGTTTTGTGTCTACGACGAATATGTCTAGACTTACCATTATACATGTTACTCTTTGCATGTGTTCTTATGTATTTCTGAATCATCAGACCTATACACTAAGAATCGATACGCGCTACCACTCTAGCCAATAAAGATTCCATCAATGGTCTTTGGACCAATCTTTATTTCCTTTGGTGATGGTGCTAAAACTTTTGCAAGGCACCCCCACACTTTCAGGTATTTATAGGAAGGTTTCCTATTACACCACAACTCGTAAGGAGTCTTAACGAGTTTTTTTTTCAGGGTATTTGATTTAACAAATAATTGCTAGATAAAATAGCCTCCTTTAGGACCAATTTTCTTCTTGTCCTTGTTTGGCGTAGGCCCTTTGGAAGAACCCTCTTTGAGTGGATGATCCACCACATTGGCGTGAACTGTTGGCTCGTCCGCGTTCTCCCCCACAACAGGGGGATCCTCCCTCAAGTACCTAGCAAGGTTGAGGGTGGTCAGCCAAAATAACATCCTTTGCTGCCATATTTTAAAACCAACACCAGTGAACTTTGCCGGTTCTTTGACAGAGTTCGCAGGCAGCATAAGAGTAGGATGTCCGACCGGTGCGGATGTGAAGACACCCATGTTCGGTCCAAGTGAGGGAATGAACGGTATGGCCGAAGCCATATTCGGTCCGAGTGGGGTGACCATTGCGGCCGTAGCCGCGGTTGGTCCAATAACCGAGGTGACCGGAGCGGACCCCATAGTCGCGCTCGATCCAACGAAGGTGGTGATCGGAGTGGACCCCATGGCCACACTCGATCCGTAAGGAATGTTGATCGGAGTGGTATGCCCTACAGAGCCACCCAATCCAGCCGAAACGTTCACAACCAGAGTCTCGGAACTACTCCCGTTTCTGGTGTGAGCGTCAAAACCGAATCCGTCCATACCCGCCATTGCGCACGGATATGTCTACTACCTTAAGATTGTTATAATTTTTGTACGGATTACAACGGACGGGGAAGATGAACGGCCCCGGTAATAAAAATAAATAAAATTCTGAATTTATAACTTATTCAGAATATTACAAAATAAAAAAGAATAGAAAATAAATTTCTATATCTTCTAAAAAAGTCTCGTTGTATGAGGACAGTAAACACTGGACAACGAGGACATTATGCACTGGACAACGAGGTCATTATGCACTAGACAGCAAGGTCATTATGCACTGGACAGCAAGGACATTATGTCCTAGGGCAGAATGCAGCGAGGTCTTTATGAGTTGTACCTGCAAAAACAAAACACCGTGGAAGGACAGCGGAGTCGCCGGAGCTGTCCTTAAGGTAGTAGTGCCCGCCTACCGTACCGGAAAGACGTGGGCACTCTCCTCCCAGGATAAAACCGCTATCGTGTGTGGAGATTGTATGGACCAACCACACACCAACGAACAAGAACAACGTAGGAACGTTGGCGACCAAAAAACTTTGAAGGGAATTGCCGAAAAGTTGGCCGGAAAATCAGGAGCTCTCCGAAAAAAACAAGGAAGTACTTTTCCTTTCGTTTTCCTTCCTCACGTATGAAACAACCACCACAAAAGAGAATGGAGAGAGCCTTTGATTTTATAACCAAGTCAATTAAAAAATGTAACTCCTACACCATAAATCCATGGCATTTGTGGCACACTTAATACCGTGTTAATGGTGATTAATTAGCCATTAACACGTCCGTTACGCTACGCTCCCTTTAAAATTTGTCCAGAATAATTGGAGATTAATGGCCAGTTAACTCCGTAAGAATGGACTAATTTTAAACAATACGTAAAATTAATAAAAGAAGATTGGTTCAGTAAAATTGCAAAAATTGCAATCCTTACCATATTCTTTTATTAACGAGTTAACTCTGAGAATCAATTTCTCATTCACCCTCTACCATTTTTGGTGTAATATTTGTCAAAACATTTATCTCATTTAAGAGAAAACACGTCCATTAATTAACGGTTAAAACCGTTAGTGGACCTATTGACAAATATACCCAAGTTGGTCCATTTAATGCCTATTAAAAATGCCAAAAATTCCAACAATTTATAAAATTGCTCCAGGTCAAGCACGCTTAACTTTGGAGTTTCTAGGTGATGAGCTCTCGAAAAGAAGATGCACCTTGTTGGTATGAGTAGTACTATCAATCCTTTTGAGCTCTTCCCATTCCCATCTTGATACGGGGTATTACATTCACCCCCACTTAGGAATGCAACGTCCTCGTTGCATCCTTTTTTTTGAACCCATAGATCTTCCCCGCTAGGTGAACTAAGCTCTTTTGGCCCGTCACGGTCGCAGGGTTGCTCTGATACCATTTGTAACACCCCGGCCCCCACCCTAGCTGTAAGTGTCCGCTCCTAGGATTGTAGACTGGCCTCACAAACCAACACAAGTCTTTCCCGCACACTTTGTCCTCACTCGTGCGCGCCCAAGGAAAACTTCCCAGGGGGTCACCCATCCTAAAATTGCTCCAGGTCAAGCACGCTTAACTTTGGAGTTTCTAGGTGATGAGCTCTCGAAAAGAAGATGCACCTTAATGGACGTGTGTTCTCTTAAATGAGATAAATATTTTGATAATTTATACGCCAAAAATGGTAGAGGGTGAATGAGAAATTGATTCTCAGATGAACTGTTGAGTAGAAGAAAATATTTATTATTTTCAAATTTCTACAACCTGTTTTACACATTTGTTCTAATTAGTTCCAATTTCGGAGTTAACTGGCCACTAATCTCCAACTTATAGGAACAAATTTTAAACTAATGTGTATGCCAACGGTTGATAATAATGTACATAAATGATATAATCATTATGATTATTGATGAGTGTCATTATGCCCATGGTAAAGAATTGATCCGTTTCAATTCTTATAAAAATGAAGGCACATGTTAATTGCATTAAATGTTAAATGGCCTTTCATGCTTCTTGGTTTTGGATATATACGTACACACAAGAAGAGAGAAGATGGCCTATTGTTATTAAAAAGTTTTGTTTTGTTTCCCCCTTGGTTTTTACGAACAAGAAAGGGAAAAAGAAAGAAAGGAAAAAAGAGTACAAAAGCTTTAGTTTTTGTCAAAGTTTCAAGCCATTCTCTTCAACGTTTTTTTTTAGTCGGCAATACTCTGACGTTGTTCTTGTTCGTTGGTGTGTAGTCGGTCCGTACAACCACTACACACGATAGCGGTTTTATCCTGGGAGGAAAGTGCCCACGTTCTCCAGTACGGTAGGCGGGTACTATTACCTTAAGGACAGCTCCGGCGACTCTGCTGCCTTCCTACAGTGTTCTATTTTGCAGATTTTGTTCTCGAGTTCTACGTCCCAGTTCGCTGCTTCTTTTTAGTGCACAAAGTCCTCATTGTCAAAGAAGGCCTTTGAAGATTGGAAGCTAATTTTAATTTTATTTATTGTAATTAATCCGAATAAAATTATAAATTCGGATTATTTTATTTCTTTTAGTTACCGGGACCGTTCCTCTTCCCGTCTATTGTAATCCGTACGATCATTTCTAACCGTCACAGTAACAAATGACGGATAATGTGCTATAACACTTCTATGTCACAAGCACACACAGAAGCAGATGATGCAAAGGGTGTTATAGCGCCTACTGGACAGAATGCTGTAACTATAAAAGCGTAAAAATGACACCAGATATGTTTACAAAGTTTGGAGAAACTCTCCTAATCTGCGGGGCCCACGTTCGTGTAATAGCCCTCCACTAAATCACTAGATGCAAGTTACACTGGTACATAACAACATGATGAGACACACTTCTCCGAATTGTTATGACAAAACTTCTAATCTAGAATTTCTAACCCGAACTCTGTCCAGATCCGCTTCGGCTATCACATCTCCACCAAGATCACGAGGACAAACGTGTTGACAGCCCTCTCCTTAAGCTCTTGTTCACCTCCTGGTAGTCACGATTTGTTTTTCACTATAGGACTCCTTCTTCATGTATAACTTTCTTCACGCAAGGGAAGCTTCGGGACGCGACGGGAATGCTCTACATCAGCTTATATTCTTTGTTTTTCCTCTCAATCGCTCCAAGTAATTCTCAGGGACCTGCTGCGTTTTTATAGGCTTATCTTGACACAATCCTAGTAGGAATAGGTTAGTAGAAGTTGGCTTGAACTCAACTTCCTTAATCTTGATCCACAAGTAGCCTAAGGAGGTGGGATCCCTTAACAAGTACAGCTGGAGTTATTATCATGTAATCACAATCCCAATAGGTCTCTAATTCAGATTACAGCTTAAAATCCTGTGCTCAGACCTCTAATCCCGAACAGTGTATTGCAGAATCGTGTTGTAGCATTTTCTGTGTCAACCTCAAAAACAGCAGCAACTCTAGAAGTCTAAATAAAATAAACTTCTCCTAATAAATAGAGGTTTCTACCTAGTAAAACACCTAACACATATGAAATTCTATTTTGCAAAAGATTAGCCAACACCATGGAACAAAAAGTGGCTCCTAAAGAAAACTAACCATAATGCCTTCACTTGAAAATTAATAAATAAATTCCAGAATATGTATTCCCGTACTCTATTCAATCTTGTGCCCTCCCAGAACTTGTTGCCTCCCTCCGGCACTGTTATGGAGTATGGACTTAGTATTTGGTTTTCTTATCGATTACTCTATTATTTCAATTCATATTTTTACATTCATTTAAAATTATTTAAGTAGTTCTTTTCCTATATGGCACCCAAAAATTAAATGTATACTATCAAGTATCAACTACGGAATACTATATTTAAAAACAAACTACAGAGTACTCTATATACATGTATCACACCCGTGCGTGGCACGGGTCATTTTTATGTTATTAGATTCAAATTATTTTTTAATGATAAAAAATAACACGATAATATACAATCATGTAGTCACACGGTTATATAATTCATACCGTGGTCAATTATTACCTTTATTTGATTATTACCTTTCTTGCTAGTATACTATAATTAAAATGACACATTAATTAATACGGAGTATACACTTATGTAGTCACACAGTTATATAAGCAATACCTTGGTTAATTATTACCTTTTTTGATGATTAAAATTACTATAATTAAAATATAGTAAAATATAGTCATTATAAAATATAGCCACTATAATTAAAATATAGCCATTATAAAATTACTTTTATAAAATTACTATAATTAATTTGACACGGTAATTAATATACAACTATGTAGTCACACGGTTATATAATTCATACCGTGGTCAATTATTACCTTTTTTATTATTATTACCTTTCTTGCTAGTATAATTTCAGAGACTTTAAAAATGACAATTACTCCCTCCGTCCCTGAGTGTTTGTCCACTTTCATTTTTGCACACCATCCAATGCACTTCTTTAATCCATTTTATCTTGTAATTTGTAAATTAAAAATTTATAAAAATTATATATTAATAATCTATATGTTAAGACGAATCAAACAAGATCACACATGACTATTTTTTGGCTTACACATTGAGAGAATTTGATGAGTCAAAGTGCTTAGATGAACAGTTCCAAAAGTCAAAAGTGGACAAACACTCAGGGACGGACCAAGTAATTATTATCTTTCATGGTTATTACCTTTTTTGCTATTAAACGTAAATATATAGTCAATTTATAGTCCACAGTCCATTTTAATCTTTCCAAATATAATAGTTGTAGTCCATTTATAATCCACGAATTGAGCAAGAAGTCACAATTCACAAAGGCAATAATTAGATTTCATTAATAGCGTGCTTAATATCATTTTATTAATTACAATTTTTACTTCACAACTACCATATGTAATGGCTATATTCTTTAGGCGGGAAAACGCAATATTGACTTCATATCTTTTTAAATAAAATATGGATATGGATTATGCTCTGTATTTTTTATGAAGTACTCCGTAGTATATTGGATATAAATTTTTATATTAAAATACGAGTATAATCGTTAACATTTTACATATACATTCTTCTTCCCATTCGTATTCTTTGAATTCTAATAAATATCTATCTATATTCTTTTCCTATCCATTTTGTGAAATTTGCACTAAATAGAACTAAAACATAATGACATTCCTAATGTAGGAATTAAATTTTTTTATTCCTTAAATAGGACTTAATAATGACCTAGTGGAAGGAATAATGTCCAGTAATGCTGGACATTTAGTTGAATAATGACTACTTCATAATGACCAAAGGTCCTACATTGGGAAATAAAAACATATGGTACTATATTAGAAAAATCATTATGTTTTAGTCCTATTTAGATAAATTTCTCATCCATTTTTTGAATAAGAATTATTAATATGGAATATGAATCTGGAATCAAAATTATTGGTGCACATTCGTCAATTTCTTCAGCTACTCTACATTTTACTTCAGAAACCCATTGATTTTCTTAACATCAATCCGCTTCTTATGCACAATCTTCCTTCGTCTGATCAACCCACCACATATCAATTGAAATCCCCCCGGATCTAGTAATCGCCCAAGTCTGTAATGAGAAAAGCTAAATTAAGATTCACCTACAACAGGAGATGGTCAATACCCGTACTTTCTCTTTCTCTTTGCATTCTCATACTCATTTCCGTTCTGATTCTCAAAAACCCCAAAGGGAACTCATCATCTCCATCCCAACTCTCAGAATCAAGAGTCTTGGGCTCTGATGTGTTACCGGAATCGGGATTGCTCCCGGAGCTTCCCCGGCTGGCTTACTTGATTTCGGGGTCGAAAGGAGACGTAGGGCGGGTGAAGCGGTTGCTTGGCGGCTTGTACCATCCTAGGAATTACTATTTGCTTCATCTTGATTTGGAGGCTTCGGATGGGGAGAGGATGGAGCTGGCTAGGTTCGCAAAATCAGATGTTGTGACGAGGGAGTTTAAGAATGTGATGGTTGTTGGGAAGGCGGATTTAGTCACCTACAGAGGTCCTACGATGATGGCTGCGACCCTCCACGCAGTTGCTATTCTCTTGAAGAAAGCTAAGAATTGGGACTGGTTTATCAATCTCAGTGCTTCGGATTACCCACTCATGCCTCAAGATGGTCAGTTGGTTTCTAAGCTCCATTTTGGCATTCACATTTCGGTAATGGGAATTGACTCAAACCTTAGAAAGTTATAGATTAAGTGAATAAGCAATCAAAATTTTATTTGGTCCTAGAACAGTGCATGCTCAACTATTAATAACTTCCATAGAAGTATAATACCCTAACTAGTATATTAAAAATGGAATTAGGGGTGGACAGGAATTCTCAAGGAAGCATGAAGATTCCAAACACAATTAGAGACAAGAGTTGCATTTCTGTTTCAACTTGAATCCTGCTTATCAAATAGTCTTGTTGTGTTTATGGATTGAAAGCCCTCTTCAAGATGTCCTTAAATGTGGTGCTTGGGTATGTTGGTGTTCTGTACGGTAGGGATTTAAATGCATGCTTGTTTGTTATCACAAATGTTTTAAACAAATGGGCAATGGGCAGAACAGAGGAATTAAAAATTAGGGAAACATAGTGCCTATAATTGATCAAATTTCACTGTGTCCATGTTGGGGCTATGTTGATACTGGTTTGTGTATTTGAATTCTTTGTTAAATTTTATTCTCTGTTGTAGTTATAAATGTCTTGTTACCCACTTTAATGCATTGAAATTTTGCCATTCCTTCAGTCTAACTTTAAAGACAAATATTCTTGAAAAATCCATTTCATTGCTCTTCAAAAGATATCTCGAGTGGAAATGTATGTAGTAGCGCACATTGGAAAGCGTATATTTTGATCTAATCATTTGCTTAACCTACTTTTGACTTTTCTACTTGCCATCTTTGTTCCAGATATCCTGCACATTTTCTCGTATTTGCCAAGGGATCTGAATTTTCTCGAGCACTCAACCAATCTTGGCTGGAAAGAGTGAGCATTCAACTCAATGCATTGATGCATCCCTATTCCAACATTGCAAGATGAGTCTCTCATTATGACACCCTATCTATTGTGATTATAAATTTCTAAGATAATAATTATATAAACAGGTTTCAGAGGGCTAGGCCTATAATCCTAGACCCTGGCATATATCATGCAAAGAAATCTGGGGTATTTTGGGCGAAGGAGAAACGATCAATGCCTGCTGCTTTCAAACTGTTCATGGGTACTGCTTTCCTCTTTCTTTCAACCTGGACACAGTTCCAAATGGGATTTTTGTTACTGTCCTGCTGTTGAAACATACACTTGGAAATATGTTTAATAACCCCTTTCGTCCTTTGGAATTACCCTTTGGTGGTTGCTAATTGCTATATTCAATTTCTAAATTGAAATTTGGAATAACAATGGGTTGGCTGTATAATAGGGTATCCCGGATAGCTTAATCTTAATGGTACCCAAATGCCAAACCTAATCCGACATAGGATGGGTATGAATCTTAATGGTACCCAAACCTAATTGGATCTAGGATGGGTATGGCAGAATATTTTAATACCCAACCTGTTAAAAATTTTAATTTTTGTTTGTAACAAGTGATCATTTATTAATGGAAAGTTTTACCAATGGGTTTTAAAACTGTGTGAACTTTTAACGAGAAATTGGTAAATGCAACACGATGGGAGGATTGGTCGGGTTCGTGTATATCGGGGCTCTCCTGAAATGGATTAAAACTGATTTGGAACGGGATACTCTAAACGGGATTGGGATGGGAAATGCTACATGGGTAGGATACCCTACCCATTGCCACCCTACTTGAAATATTCTCCTGTGCTAGCCAGGAACTCTCCCAGCAAATTTTAGGTTAACTTCTTGACAGACTAAAACTAACCACATAAAGACCCTACAATTGCAGGATCTGAATGGGTGATTCTCACAAGGTCATTCCTAGAATTCTGCATTTGGGGATGGGACAATCTCCCACGGACTCTTCTTATGTACTATACCAATTTCCTATCCTCTCCAGAGGGCTACTTCCATACTGTTGTCTGCAATAACAAGGACTATCAGAATACAACAGTGAACCATAACTTACATTACATAAAATGGGATAATCCCCCGAAGCAGAGCCCAATGAATTTAACAATGGAACATTTTGAGGACATGGTCCAGAGTGGCATACCATTTGCTCGTACTTTTGCCGTCGATGATCCAGTTCTTGATAAGATCGATAAGGAAATCTTGAGAGGATCTAAACGTCTATTTTCTCCTGATGGTTGGTGTTCGGGTGCTGGCAAAGATCTATGCCTGGTACAAGGCATTTCTGATGCAGTTAAACCCTCTGCTGGGTCAAGAAGGTTAGAAAAACTTGTACTGAGGCTCCTTGATTCTGAAAATTTCAGGCTTAGTCAATGTAAATAACTTTCTAACTGCTTCTTATGTTGAAAATTTATGTTTCTATTGATTTTTGCATCCTTCTAACGGCTATACTTTTATACTTTTAAGTGTTTGGCACTCAGTCTTTAAGCGTGCTTTATGTCAAAAAAGAGATTTTTGTAAGTGAAATGAGCTATTAAAGGTATTTGAGAAAATACTCATTTTAGTCCTCGTAAGTACATTTATGAGTCACTTTAATTTGGTAGAACTTGTTCCGTCAAACTAGTTTCCATTGTTTGGAAACATTAACCAAGTTAGTCTCTCAAATGGAATTTGAGTTCATACTCTTAGAGCATCTTACTGAGCATATCCAAGAACCCGTACCATGGTGCATGCTTTTTGTTGATGACATCATCTTTATGAGCGAATCACGAGAGGATTTAAATGGGAAATTGGATTCATGTACATAGGCTTTGGAGTTGCATGGCTTGTGTATAAGTCACACTTAACCAAAGTATGCAAGTTTAGCAACATATTGAGAAATAGTAACATCGAGGTGAAAATCAGAGAAAATACTACACCACAAGAAAAGATATTTAAATATCTTGGTTATATAATTCAAGTCATAAATAGAGGGTGATGTTAGCCATGTGATTCAAGTTGGTTGGTAAAAATGGCAGAGTGCTTCGGGCTTTATATGTGACAAAAAATGCCTTTAAAACTACAAGAAAAATTTTATCATACTGCGACGAGACCAATGATATTGTATGAAACAGAGTGTTGGGTAGCACATGGTGATTATGAGCACAAGATTAGTGTGGCCAAAATGAAGATGCTTTGATGGTTGAGTGGTCATACACATATCGATAGAAAAAGGAATGAGAATATGAGAGCTAAAGTTGGAGTGACACATACTATAAAAAAAGATGGTGGAAATCGTCTCAGGTGGTTTGGACATGTAAAGAAAAGACCAACAGAGCACCCGTGAGATGATTGATCAAACGGTGAATAAACATGTGACTAGAATAAGTAGACCTAAGAAGACTTGACACCCATTGGTCAAGAAAGATCTTCGTGTGAATGATTTCATTGCAGATGTGATACATGATAGGGCACAATGACGTTGTTTGATCTATGTAGTCGATCTCGCTTAGTAGGATAAGGCTTTGTTGTTGTGCTGCTGTTCTTGTTCTGGTTGTTGTACTCTTAGAACATCTTAGGCACATTAAGGGATATTTGGATGCCAAATGGATCCCGCGCGGATGCAAATATAGGATTGATATTTACTTTGGCTCTTGTTCGTTTAAATGAGGCAAAATAGTCTATGCATTTGACTAATGTGAATAAAACAAGTGTTTTACTAGCTTTTTACTTGTTTAAACTTCTGGCACATGTAAGCTTTCTTTATTCTTCTTCGATGTCAGCAACTACTAGCACACGTCAGATTTCTATTTTCTTAGAATTTCCAGTTGCCTGCTAGTGTCCAAGTTTTTTCTTGCTTGAGCCAGACTCAATTGGAAGGAAGTTGTTAGAAAGTAATATTAAATATTCCTATTTATGACAAATGTTGTATTTTAATTAATTTTCATTCTCTATTTCTAGGGTCTTATGAGTCTCTCTTATATACATAGTATACTCTACCATCTCTATCAATGAGCACCATTGTTATTTTAAGAGTAAATTTCATAAATGGTTTCTAATTATATGTAGTTTTTTAAATTTAGTCCCCAATTATAAGATATCCCACCATAAGCAGTGCTCAATTTTTGTAAATCATTTCACAAATAATCCTTTTCACCAAATATGACAATGTTTTAAGTAAATTCTCAAAACAATCCTTTCTAATAAGGTCTTTTCCCTAAGTAATCATCAATTAGCAAAAATTACTAACGTGGTCCTTTATAATTGAATTGTGTTTCCTAAATAGTCCTTTATCAAAAATGCCTATTAAATAACACTTAATTAGAAAGTATTTTGATGCTCTTTATTATATAAAGTATGAATAAGTCCTCAAAATGATTTTTTTAAAATTAAGTGGGAGGCTACAAATAAACATTAATCTCAAATTTGATTCTTTATAATTTAGGTTTATTCCCTAAATTGTCTTTTTCCTAAAATATCTATTAAATGTCAGTCAATTATAAGGCATTTTGATATTTTCTATTATCTAGGTTTAAATTATATTCTTTTAATGCTCTTTTATAATTAAGTATTTTTCCAAATTGATAATTTTTAGAAATGAAGCCCATGAGCCAACTCGGAATGGGTCCCTTCTTTTAGTAGCCTCCAACTTAATGTTAAAAAATCATTTTGAGAACTTATTCATAGTTTAAATAATAAAGAGCATCAAAACACCCTCTATTTAACTATCACTTAGGGCATGTTCGTTAGACCTTGAATCTTAATTTTCAGTTTCTTCTAGTTCCTTCCACTTCTTTACAGCCAGTTTTTTCCAGTTCCTTCCAGTTTTTTTCACTTTCTTTCAGTTTTTTGCAGTTTTTTCCAGTTTCTTCTAATTTCTTCCAACTATATTTATTTTTTTCAAATTATTTCTACTTTCTGACAAATCACTCTAAAGAAATATTATTATTATTATTACAACTTTTATTTAATTACAACTTTTATGTTCATAATTATAATTTATAAGTTATTTCATTTTTTCATCTCACTATTTTTATGATTCACATTCATTATTATTTTTTCTTCAACTTTTTAATATGAATAATACTGTTTTTTTGTATATTAATCTACATGAAAAATTAGGAAACTATTTAAAAATTATGGATAAATAGTTATATAGAATATTTTTAATCTAAACTTATATAAGGTAAACATTAATATTTTAATCTAAAATATAAAGTATGGAACGTGGTGGGGAGTACTACATTATGAAAACCAAGAGAAAAACTACATTTTGAAAAAGAAAATATGACGCAAGAAGTGTAATATTTATGCTAATTTTATATTCTAATTATTTTTTAACTAGCTTTTTATACATGAAAAATAATACTCGTAACATTTTTTTAATCTTAAAGACAATCATTAAGATAACGTGATAACACCACCACTACCACCACCACCACCACCACCACCAACAACAACAATAATGATAATAATAATAATTTATAACAACAAGAATCATAATGAGAATAATATAAAACCACACATAAATTTTTTTTAAACACTTTTTTTAGATTTTTCACTTTTTTCTAGTTTTTTCAGTTTCTTTTAATTTTTTTCAGTTTTTCCAATTTCTTCTAGTTTTTCCAGTTTCTTCCAGTTCTTCGAGTTCCTACCAGTTTCTTCCAGTTCATTCCAGTTTCTTCCAGTTTCTTCCAACATCAAGTCCTAAAAAAGAGACCCTTAATAGACATTTTTATAAAGGACTATTTAGGAAACACCTCTCAATTATAAAGGATCATGTTAGTAATTTTTGCTTATTGATAATTACTTTGAGAAAAAACCTTATTAGAAGGGACCATTTTGAGAATTTACTCAAAAATTGAGGACTATTTGTGGAATATCTTATAATTAGAGACTAAATATGTAAAACTACGTATAATTGGGACCATTTATGGGATTTACTCTTATTCTAATATTCCAACAAAAACAAAAAGTATGAAAGTTGCAATTCAAAAATTTAAAGAAGGATTCTTTAAATAAAATTCCAACTAGTATTCCAACGAGGAAATATTAATTCTACAATTTAAGATGAATATAATAAATGAAAAATGATTCTAAAAATTTAAAATGAATAATATTTAAAAATTTAAGTTTTTGTGTCATGAATATATAAAATAAAAATTTATGTTTTATAGTTTAAAATTAATTATATCTAAGAATATAGTTTTATAACCGATATATACATATATATTATATATGTTATCAAAAAAATTTCTATGTATGTAAGTATATTCTTTATTAAATTCTAAACTTAATCAACAATGCACATAATAAAAGAATTCATTTTTTGAGAATTTCTTTTTCTATCAATAAGATTTAGGATTTAAATGGATATGTATTGATTTGTGCTTCATGATTACCATCTCTATTAAAAGTTAACCTTATATTTATTACTATGTAGTACTATATTTTTATTAGATGCTTCAAATTAATTTCTTCATTTCATCCATAAAATCTTAAAATTTTAGTTACTTCATTCATGCGATGCAAGATATTAATTATAACTCCTCTATAATTCAAGGTATGAATTGAAATTGATAATTTTTAAAATTATAATACTTTAAACCAAAAAGTGTAGCTTCACAAAAATTTAGAAGCTGACATTTTATTTTAATATTTAGGAAAATCTTGTTATGCACAATATTTTGGGTCTCAAAGTTTGGTTTAAATTTTTTTTTTTTAAAAAATTCTGGGATTGACCCCAAAAAAATCAAAAAATCTTATTACATTTGGTTCTAAAATATATTATCTAATGTACAAAGAAATGAGTCCATTGTATCCCAATCATCTGCAAATAGTGGGGGTTAATGATAAGCCATACATAATGCTCCAAACTTGTAAGAAAATCAAACAACACACACTTGAGCATGGAGTGCATGGTTTAAAATATCGTAATTTAAAAATTAGATTACAAATCTGAACTTTGACAAAAATATTCTCACACTAATTGTGATGAACATCAAGTATATATGTTGGTCCCTCAACAATATGAAATTGTAATCAATACATATGAACAGATCTGATATGGTAGTTAGGCTCTAAAGACATTAAAAAAAATATTTAAAAATAAGTGAACCTACAATTGTCACAAACAAAAACAAACATAGATGTGAACACAACGATAATGTGGCCACACAACAACTTTTAAATGGAGGAATAAGTAGACAGAAAGTGCATTCATATTGTGCTTCTTAAGTATGAATTTCTCATTGTGACCTCGCACAGTTGCTTTCTTCTCGAAACAAATAATATTTCAGCATTAGGGCAAAGTGGCAAACAATAGAAGACCTACATCATTGAATGTTTGAAACATCAACTACAAGTTTATAATAAATATTTATTTTTTTAAATTTAATTTTGGTATAATGTTTTGGGTATAATTTGTGATCTTAAAGATACTTTGCATGGAGCCAGCACAACCATATTCATATAAAGGGGAATGGTGGAATATCAATCTCTATTCAACTAAAAAATAAATACTTAGAGATCGAGCACTAACCATTTCAGTTTGATATGTATCTTCTCCAACATT